TGGAGGAACATAATTGCCGTCTCATCGCCATTCAGGAGTGGGGGGGAAAACATGCGCAGGATGGAGAGCAGTAGATAGCAGCAAGTGCACATCTGCAACATATTTTTCTTAAGGCGCATGCGGATAAGACGGCCGGTGTAGCGGGATTGCGGGCGCGGCCCAGCGGCGCCTCGCCCAAGAAGAGGAATAAAGCGAAATATGCAGAGTGCGGCCGAACAAATGCTATCATTGTCTCAACGGCAGGCCGAGAAAGAGCGACTTGCACATAAAATGATAGCTAATGCCGCCAGCCGGGAAGGAGAGAGGAAGGCCCGAGAACAGACAGCACGAGAAAAACCAAGAGCTCCGCAATCAACGCGACGCTGCCGAGCTCGAGGCCGAAAAGGTGAAATTAGAAGCGGCGCGAACACTCCAGGAGTAGGACCAGAAGGCCCAGGCACTAAGACACGATGATCAAAGAAGGATGGCCGAAGCCTGGAACCATGCGAAGGGGTGCGCAGATGAGCACATCAAGAACGATGTTCTCACTCTTCGCGCCGCGAGTGAAGAAAATAGAAGGCCAAGATCTGACCTATAGCAACATAATACTGCGAGGGGGCCCTTAGACAAGATCCGGACAACCAGGCAACCTGGCGCAGTAGTTGTGTCAGAGATCGAGTGTGCACCTACGGCTCTGCCGGGAGGTAATGGATCACGTGAGAGGGCTAACTCAACGCCGGCCGGCTCGCCCGACGAATGTTGACCCTCTTCCGAGTCTGGATGTTGCTCATCCTGTTCGCGTGGAGGCGACCGAGCCGACTCGAGCGCGAATTGGTGCGCCAGATGCGCCGTGTCACATATGTTCAAAGCCTTCCATCGGGATTTTCGCGGGGCGTGTGACACCCACGCGCAGGGCGCGCCTGGGCGGAGGTGCCAAGAGGTGCACAGAGTGCGCCAGGAGCAAAGAGTTCAGGGAACAGGACGACCCCGTGATAAGGGAAGAACATAACTGCAGACATCCACCAAAACCAAGATCGCGCAAGTGAGACGGCGCCGGGACACTTGGATGGATCGGGGGAGATCATTCAAAGGCGTCAGCTGCAATTGCAAGAGCTAGAAGAACATGGGGTATCACTGACAGCC